TATTGTGCGGTGTTATGGGATACAAGGAAACTAGAATATCATCTTTTACCTTCAAGAGTTTGTGCTGTATTTGAAATGACAAAGTAGAATAATAATAATAATAATAATAATAAACAAATTCTACTAGGCAGTATGTGAATACTTCCTTTTGGGAATTAGACCGATATAAGCAATAAGTGCTTCGTGTTTAAAGAAAGGGAATTATCTGCGAGAGTGGATCAAATTTTGTCAGAGAAAATGATAAAAAAAAAACAAACAAACAAAACCAAAGCATGGTTGGGTAGTCTACCTGAAAAAAAGACCACAGGTAATTCCATTTAGCCATGTATATGTCTATCACTCTTCCTTCAAGAGATAGAGTGTATTCCTTCTACTGTGATCTGAATATTGGTGTTTTCCAAAATTCACATGTTGGAACCTCCTTGTACTAAGCTCTTCGGAAAGTGATTAAGTTATCAAGACTCTTCCTTCAAGAATGGGGTTGGTATAATCAAAGAAGTTGAAAGGAGCAGCCCTCCCCTTATGCCGCATGAGGTTACCGTGTTTGCCCACTATGCCTTGTGAGGACACTGCCTGAGGGGCCCTCCATGAATCAAAGTGCAAGCCATCACCAGACACTGAAGCTGCTGCTGCCTTCACCTTGAACTTCTCTCAGGTTCTAGAACTGTGAAAAATAAATTTCTGCTATTTACAGATTAGCCAGTCTAAGGTATTTGTTATAGCAGCCTGAATGGACTGATACCCTCTCTCCTTGAAACTGAGTTAGCTGTGTGACTCTCTCCAGTAGAATATGCAGGGAAAAATAATGTGGATTCTGGTTTGGGCTTTAAGAAATGGCATAAGTTTTGTTTTCTTTGCTTTGATAAGCCAATAAAAAAACAAACAAACAAAAAACAAGAGAGAGAGAGAGACTTGGCCAGAGCAAGAGGAAACCAAGGTGGTAGATGAGATGTGTTGTGAGCTATGTAGGGACAGGAGTATTATCCCAACCAGAAGACAATCCTCACAGCCACAGTTCACTAAAAACACCCAGACCTGCTTCCCACGTTTCCAAGGAGAGAAACAAGATCCCAAAGAGGATTCAGGATGATGGGAAAATAGGAAGCACCAGAAATCTGTCTCCCCACCTCAACAAGAACTGCACTAACAGAATGTATTGTGTTGTTGGAAAAGTTATGATGTAGTTTTTTTATATGTTTTTCTATGCAAAAATACATCATGAGCTTTCCCAAGATGAAGGTGCCATTTTGGAAGTCTGCAGTTTATTGAAGGCTGCAACTTAAGGAGAAGGTTTGTATGGTAAACTGTGGTTACTTTGGTCAGTTTCAACACTTAGCACAGTAGCAGCTACCTGTCTTCCAACCCATTCAAAGGCAGCAGCAGTTGTACATGCACTCTAGGATCCTGAGTGAGCAAAAATAGCTTATACTCCCCAATACTGGGGTCTGTGCTTTTTTTTAGAGAGAGAGATTTTTGCTATAGGGCGAGTATGCTTGCCAGAGGGACAGAGAGAGACAGAGAGAAAAAGTGACAAATCAGCCTTTGTGGGGATGGCCATGCCACAAAACCTTCTCCTCCATTCTCTTTTCAGGATTGTGTGCATACATGCACTCATGACCTGTATGAGTTTCAAGCCACCAAGTCTGGGACTCAGCCATATGTGAATCCAGTGCCTTACCCACTATAATAGAGGTGCAAAGAACTATGTAGCTACTGCTATTGTACCTTTCCCCATTGTTGGAAGCCAGTGCCCTTCTGGTTGAAATTAGTTCCAGGAGATATAAATAATCAGAGACTGTTCCTTCTCCTTCATTTTTCTCTTTATTCCTTTTGGGAGCCAGCCATTAAATACTAGAACTTCTTTTTTTTTTTTTTTTTGAGAGGTTTTTGCTATAGGTCGTTGGTGCTCGCCAGACAGAGAAAAGGTCCCGTGTGCTCACCAGACAGAGAGAGAGAGAGAGAGAGACAGAAAGCGAGAAATCACCCCCCAGGGGGGATGGCCATACCGCAATCCCTTCTCCTCCATTCTCCACTCAAGATCTTGGGCACGCACGCGCACACGCGCCCGGAGTGAGTTTAAGCCACCGGGTCCTGGACGTGAACTGTGGTCGACCACGTGGGAGTCCAGTGACATAGCCATTATGCTAACTGCTGGTCCCAAATACTAGAACTTCTAAAGGCAATCACATACTCAGGGAAAATGAGGAACTCACTGTGCATGTCCAAGAAAAGGTGCAGGCTCAGAAAAGACCTAAGAGGAACTTAAGTTTACATTTCAGGGTGATCTTTGGTACTAAAACTATCCACAACAATTAAAATGAAAACCTGCAAGTCCCAGGGAAGGAGGGCACTATAATATCTACAGCTATTGCATTGTTAGATTTGCATGTCTAAATTTCAAGAGAAAAATTACAAGGCATAACACACACACACACACACACAAGAAAGATATGGTCCAATTTAAAAATTAAAAAAGCCAAGAGAAACCATCTCTGAACACGGCACAATGACAGACCTAGACAATGACTTCAAAACAATGGTCAAGAAAGATGTTTGGAGAACTAAAGAAAAGTGTGGCGAAAGTCAGAAAAACAGTGAATTGGCAAAACGAAAATATCAACAGAGACAGAAAACCTAAAAAAAACCATAAACAAATCCTGAACCTGAAAATTACAACTAAAATGAAAAATCCACCAGAGGAATTTAAAGGTATATTTTAATCAATAGAAGAAAGAATCAGCAAGCATAAAGGTGGGACAGCAGAAATTACTTAACTGAGTAACAGAAAGAAAAATAAAATAAACAGAATATAAGAGAATTCTGGAACACATCCAGTGGACCAACATATACATTATGGAGTAAATAAGAAGCAAGGGAGAAAAGAGCAAAAAGAAGTTAAAGATACAATGGCTGAAAACTTTCTGAGTTTGATGAAACATGACTATAAATATTTAAGAAGCCCCCCCATGATAAATTAAGAGAGACCCACATGAAGACACATTATAATCAAACCTCCAGAAATTAAAAACAGAATATGGGAAAATGAGAGAAATGACTTACCACATATAAGGGATCATTTATAAAATTATCAGCAAATTTCTCATCAGAAAGTTTGAGGAGAAGAAGGCAGTAGGCTGGTTTATTCAAAGTGCTAAACAACCACCACCACCACCTGTCAACTAAAAATCCTATATTTGTTTATTGGGGTATAGTCACTCATAGTATCCTCTAATAATGTTTTGTATTTCATTTATGTATGTTACAATACTGCCTGTTTCATTGTAAATTTGATTTATCTGGTTCCTTTCTCTCTTCTTGATTAGTCTAGCTAATGGTGTATCAATCTTGTTTATCTTTTCAAAGAACCAACTTTTGCTTTCATTTATTTTCTGCATAGTTCGTTTATTTTCTATTTTACTTTTGCTTGAATCTCTATTATTTCTGCTCTTCTGGCATTTTTTGGGATTATTTGTTGTTGTTTGTACAATTCCCTGAGGCATGATGTTAGGTTGTGTTTTGTACCTTCAACTGGACTGATGTGAAGTGTATTCATGATGGGTAAATTCAGCTTAGAAGCTAGCACATATATACTGATTAAATGTGTAAAATAAAATGTAAAAAAATCCTATATCTGGCTAAAATTTCCTTCAAAAATGAGAAAGAAATGAAGACATTTCCAGATACACAAAAGCTTATCAAGTTTATTGTCATTAGACCTGCCCTCCAACAAATGCTAAAGACAGTTGGTTGAAATGAAAGGATATGGGCCAGCAGGTGTGTGGAGGTTAAGGCTTTGGATCCCACATAACCAACTATATGGTTCAAGTCCTGGACCTGGCACCTTGGAAATCATGCTGGGTGCATGATTTCATGCTGGTGCTCCTCCCTTGAAGGAGAAGGGATTTTGGCATAGTCATCCCCACTGTGGTGTGATTTCTCATTTTCCCTCTTTCTGTCTCTCTCTGGTGAGTGCAGATACCCTATAACAAAAACTAAACAACAACAACAACAAAAACTCGAACCCACATAAGGAAATAAAGATTGCAGTAGAGATAAATGTAGAGGCAATTATAAAAGCCAGTATTAGTGAATTATGGTTTATAACTCATTTTTGTTTTCTATATGATTTTAGAGACAGTTTAAAAATACATTTATTTGTCTAAAAGCAAGTATTATCATAACTTAGTTTTATAACTCCACATTTTGTTATCTAAATAATTTAAGAGACTAATGTATTTTTAAAAAAAGTTTATATTTTAGATACACAAAGAACAAAGATGTAATTTTAGGACATAACTGAACGACTTGGAAATGGAAATGTAAAGAATCAGAGGTTGTGCATGTTATTGAAGTAAAACTGGTACAATCTAGAGTATTATAACTTTACAACGGTAAATGCAATCCCCAGGTAACCATAAATAAAATAACATAAAATAGATACAAGAAGCAATGAAACAGGAACTTACACATTTCACCAAAACAAACAAACAAACAAACGAACAAAAAACTAGGCACACGAAAATTAATTATGCAGAAAATTAGGGGTAAAAATGCTAAGACATGTGAAACAAATTTTAAAAATGACAAAGTGGGGCCAGCAGGTAGCATAGTGGTTAAGGCATTAGACTCTCATATGGCTGATCACAGTTCAAATCCTGGACCTGGTGGCTTATATTCTCACTCCCCTCCCTTGTCTCTCTCATGTGTACCCTATGGCAAACTTAAAATGATAATAAATAGTAATAATAATAATAAATAAAATAAATAATGTTTTAAAAAATGACACTAGTAAGTCCCTTTTGATTGGCCAGCCTTAAAAAGGAAGGAAATTCTGAAATATGCTACAGTAGTTTAATGAGATCCACATTCAATAGGGAGAATTGATTTTCTGTAAAGTTCATCAACTATTATTTCCTAAAATTAGAATTGAAAAAACACTTGCAAAACAGCTGATGAGCTGTGCCTGCAGCTTGTCTTGGATAAGTCTCTCGCATACTTACTTGGAGCATTATCTGGGGCTTTAGTCGTTTTACTGCCTACTTCCCCACATAGAAATTTCAGTTCCTCGAGGGCTGGAATCATCTATTCTTCACATTTCCAGCACTTTGGTATATAGGAGATAGACTATCAAGAGCTTGAAATCAAAGTATCTTTTTCTTGTTTTCCTTAGCATGTTCTAATTGGTTTCATGAATGTGTAAGTGGGCTCATCATCTCTCAGCCATCTGTAACTGACATACTGGGATATATTTCAAATCCACCTTTATATCTGCTAAACAGTAGAACAGGATCACCCACTTGTGTTCTCCAAGTTCTGTTGGCTTTCTCAAGTCAACTGTAGAATAAGCTATTTGTGATCACCTATGGTCAGACCTAGACACTGAAATTAGAAAGAACAAAAGTGTACCTTCCACAAATACTTTCAAATAACATTTTACAATCTGCATTTCTATCAATATTTTAATTTGGTCAACATTTTGCTTTACTGTTCATTGAATTCTTCTATGTTTAAAAACATAATCTGTCTTATTCATAATAGCTATTAAAAACACAAACTTCTTTTATTTTTAAAAATGTTGGTAGAGGGTATGTGCACTCCACCGGAGACGAAGAGGGAGAAAGTGAGAAAGCACCCTCCATGGGGGATGGTCATTTCATAATCCCTTCTCCTCTCTTTCCTTTGGGAATTTTTGGCATGCATGTACCTGGTATGTTTTTCTAGCTGCTTGGTCCAGGACTCAAACCATTCAGTCGACCATATGAGATCCAGCTGCCTGAACCACCACTACATTGGCTGGCCTGAGAATGAACTATTAATGAAAGCTGGTCATTTAAGTGATACGTAATGAAACCTTATTATAAAGACATAACTTTCCCATAGAATTTTCTATCTTAGTGGCAAACTGTATTCTCTAAAAGGTGTATACATTTCTTTGCACATGTAGCGAATCCAAACCAGGTATCACTCTTGTCCTTGTCAATTATAATTCAGATCACAGGTTACTGAGGATGAAATGATTAAACCAGCCTGGATCTCTGTACGTAGTAGGAATTGTTCAGGGTAACAGAGGAAGTCTTGTAAAGGATGGTCTAGCCAACTGAGAAAATGCTTTTCATCTGGACCCTCATTCGAAAACTTATTTTACTCCCCCCACACAAACTGTATTCTCAAAATAGAGCACCAGATATATAAGTTTTTTAAGCTCAAGAATAAAGACACAAATTCAGAGACACATTGGGGCAGTATCAGAAAATTTGGAATCTAGAGAAATTAAAACTCCTCCCTGATCTTCCTGAGGAGTTATCTTGGTGTCCTTAAAAAAATCCATTTAAATTTAATAGAGAATCCCATCACAGGTGTTTATGAAGTTTCTGAACTGGGTAGTAAAAGGTATGAGACTTTATCATGCGTGTGGTGTAACTCACCTAATGTCTCCCTTTACCAAATTAGTACAATTCAGGGTAAATGGGCTGAGATTTTATTAATCGAGGAGAAGCTGATTAACTTGTAATAACAATTACAGAATCCTTAGTAGAAAAACAAATAAAGCACTTCTTTTTGTAGATGCAGATTTTAACAAGGTTGATTTTCCAGGAATATTTATTCAATCATTATAATAAACAATTCTGTCTAATCCTCTGCTAACAGTGGCAATATCAACCACTTATTTCCATGTAGAAACCATTTGGGGGTTTATTGGAATCTAAATTCAATTTTTAAAATGACTAATTTACTTAAAGTGAGAAATATTCTTTGAATTTAAATAGACTAATTATTTTCAAACCATACACACATACAAAAAAAATAAAAAAGTCAGGCTTAAAATTTTGCCCAAGGTATTAACTTTTGAAAAAAGCAATTTAAAAATCATTGTATCAGGAACCAGCAGTTAGCGTAATGGCTATGTCGCTGGACTCCCATGTAGTTGACCGCAGTTCGCGTCCTGGACCCGGTGGCTTAAAACTCACGCTGGGCGCGTGTGCGTGCGTGCCCAAGATCCCGTGAGGAGAATGGAGGAGAAGGGATTGCAGCGTGACCATCTCCCCTGGGGGGTGATTTCTCGCTTTCTGTCTCTATGTCTCTCTCTGTCTGTCTGGCAAGCGCACACGCCCTATAGTGAAAAACCTCTCAAAAAAAAAAATCATTGTATCTACCATTTATGGAGGGCTCACTATGCACTCAGAACTATACTAAGGATTTCTATTTAATGTTGTGTTTAATCTGAATCATAACCTCCTAAGTGGTTAAACCTTATAAAAATACTGAAATTTTATAATTTTTGACCTAAAAAACCTACAATTACAAAGTATAAATATAGATAAATATCACGATACAAATGTAGAAGAATTTCCTTAGAGTCTTTTCCACTCACTTAATATACAATCAATAATTTATTCTTTTTGCTCAAATGCTTTGTAAAATGCAAGCTTATTATCATACTAAGAATGCCAGGCACACGGGTGCTGATGATCCAGGGCTGGCAGAGACCAGGGTGGATTATGATGTCAAGATCTGGTTGGGATGCTGTCTTTCTTTCTCTTTTTCTCTCCCTGACGCTCTCCCTCATGAAAGAAATGAACAGAAACTGTGGATTTCGATACTCATTTTGATTCTGGCAAAGTTGTTTCATAACCCAGAGGGAAAAAGACTCTTGAAACAATTTGAACATCATCTCAATCCCCTAAAGTGTCATTATAATATTTTATGTAGTCAAATAAACAGCTGGATTGGATATATTTTGAAATATATTTGCAACAGGAGGGTAAAAAAAAAATGACAAATACTATTGTGTGAAGTCTAAATTTATTGAGTTGAACACTCTCAGAAAAACATCTGGACAGGTTACCACAAGTGACTAGAGTATTGTGCTAATGAGAATGACACCTAAATATAATAATCTTATAAAGTACCCGATAGGTAGTTGGGCAAGCAGAAACACTGTTAGCTTACTCTCCTAACCTCAGCCAGCTCTCCAATGCACACAATTAACCTCACAAGGAAAACTCTAGGGGCAACTGGATTGATTCATCAAAACTCGTCTATACAAACTGCAAAACATCTAAAAAGATATATGAGCTACCATTAAGGGGACATTTCCAGAATTTTAAATGCCAGTACAAGCCTTTATCAACTTAAAAAAAAACTATTTTATTTATTGTTGTTACCATTTTTTTTTTGAGAGGTTTTCACTATAGGGCGCGTGCGCTCACCAGACAGACAGAGAGAGACATAGAGACAGAAAGCGAGAAATCACCCCCCAGGGGGGATGGTCACGCCACAATCCCTTCTCCTCCATTCTCCTCTCAGGATCTTGGGCACGCACACACACGCGCCCGGCGTGAGTTCTAAGCCACCGGGTCCGGGACGCGAACCGCGGTCGACTACATGGGAATCCAGTGACAAAGCCATTACGCTAACTGCTGGTTCCCTGTTGTTACCATTTTTAAGGTTTTGCTACAGGGCATGTGTGCTCACCAGAGAGAGACAGAGAGGGAAAGTGAGAAAGCAAACCACGAGGTCCGCGACTTGAACCTCCATGGACCATTTGGGAGTTCAGCGCCTTAACCACTATACCACCTGCTGGCTCACCATTATCAACTTTTTATTATGAAAATTTTCAAATACATATAGACATAATTGAATTATGAACCTAAGTATTCACTCACTTTGCTTATAAAATTATCAACTCACTTCAACTTTATTTATATACCTCCCTTTCCCCGCCACTAACCTGTCAGATTTACTTAATTATAATGTACTTTGTATAAGGGTAGGCATTATACAACTATATTTCTAATTATTTGCTATATATCTCTGGAAATTAAAAAAAATCCCTTAAGGGCTGGACACTGGCTCAGAGATAAGACACAACGCTCTATAAGGCTAGCCCACTGGGAAAGTTCTGGATTCAGGTCCAGGGACTGCCCTGAGTAAGCCAGGTAGATAGCTGCTTAGGGCTGGCTGAGGCTGGGGGTAGACAATATTATGAAGACCCTGTTGAAGGTATTGTCTCTCTCCCTCTGTTTCTTTCACTCGTGGAAGAAATAAAATAACATTAAAAATTAATAAAATAAAATAGAAGCATCTTAAAACATAATCATGACACTACTATCAAACTCCCTAAAATATATGATGATTTCTTAATTTTATAAAATATCTGGTCAGTATTAAAATTTCCTTTATTTGCTCAAATTAGGGTCCACATTTTATAAGAGTTAATGTTTCTTGAGTGGTTTTATTCATAAATTATCCACTCCTGTATATTTATTTTTTCCTTGAATTTATGTGTTAAAGACAAATTGGTCAGGGGCTGGCAGTTGGCATGGTGGTTAAGGGTGCTAGATTCCCATGTGTCTGACTGTGGTTCTAGTCCTGGACCTGCTGGCTTGCTTTCATACCTTCTCTCTCTCTCCCCCTGGTCAAATTAAAATAAATAAATAATTAAATAAACTTAAAGAAAATAATTCTTAAAGACAAATTGGTCACTTTACTGGTCGTTTCCAAAGTTCTGGACTGAACTGCTGAACTGAGCTAATCCTTCTGTTAGCTTAACATGTTGCTCTGTCTGAATTGTCTGAATTGGTAAATCTAGAGGATTGATCCAATCAGGTTTAATATTTGTTTTTAATTTTGTGTTGTGTCCTTTAAACAGAGGCACATAATGTTGTCTCCTCTCGTAGTGATATGATCGATATGATTGGGCATTTACTTTCATTCATTACTTATGCTAGTGTAAGGAGGTGAATTGTGTTCCTCCAAATTTGTATGTTGAAGTCCTAATCCCCAGAGCCTCAGGATGTGACTGTATTTAAAGATCAGCCTTTAAAGAAGTAATTAAGGGCCCAGCCACAGTGGTGCGAGTAGGAAGGCACCCCTGCAGAGTGGCTGAGGTTACACAGAGGTCTGAGCTCAGTTCCCAGCTCAACCTCAAGAGGCCAGGCCCTGGGGCTGTGCCTATGGTCCTAGCTAACTGGGTGGCTGGAGTGGGAAGAACCATGTTGCAGTAAATTCCAATAAAAAATACCCATCTCTCGGGGAACCAGCAGTTAGTGTAATGGCTATGTCACTGGACTCCCACGTGG